TGAGTGAGACATTTATAGTATATAATTAGTGATAAATTGATCTAACAAACTAAGTTAATAGATAAAAGGTAAATAATTAAAATATATTGCTATATATATATAGAATAACAAAATAATATAACTTCTCGTACACGAAGATTACTAAGCGAGATTACTAAGGGGTGTTTGGTTTATAGAATATTTTTAGGAAAATAAAATTTGTCAGAGTAATTGAAATTTGAATGATTGGAATTTGTTGTGCTTTTGTTTGATATAGAAATGTTGTTTTCTATTTGGTTTATAGATTTGTTAAAAAAAATATGAAGTAAATTATATAATACGATCAAAATACTTATTTATTAGTTTTTTATGCATTTTTTTTCTTTTTTTTAGTAAAATTGATAAAAACATTCATCTAATTAGAAACTTCATTTATTAAATTGTTACCCGCTCATACCTATGTTTTTTTTTTTGTTGAATTTCCATATAATATATAAAGCAAAAAAGATGGTTATATAGAATGAATTAGGCGAATACCCGCGCGTTGCGCAGAAACACCTATATAATTGAAATCTATACAAATATATGTTTTCTTTTTAAATATAACAATAACGTTGTTGTTACATTTGATATAATAATTTTTATACTAAATTGATATAATATATTGATTATTTTGAATTATATGATCATATATACATCTATTATAACTTCAAAATCTCAATTGTTTGAATTACTTCTACCTGCGAGTTACACATGAATAACATTAAATATAATATACGGTTTAATGTGGTTTATATTTGTTGTTATTGTTAATTAATTTTTTTTAATTTATTTGTTTAATGTTTTAATTTTTATCACTATAATTATTTAAAACATCAAACATTATTTTTTGATTTTAAATATAACAATATAATCATTTATATAGAGTTATTTTTAACAATTGTTATTGTAAATTATTTTAAACTACTTATTTGGAAACTTTTAAGGATTATAAATATACATTTAGAAAATATTTTAGTTAAATTGAGATTACAATTTAGTTTTTTTTTTTTTTTTTTTCATTTATCACTTTTAAGTATTTATAAAATATTCTTTGGTTTTTCTAGTGAAACTGAAATTTATATTTAAATTGACATTGTAATGCGCAGAAACACCTATATAGTTGAAGTCTATACAAATATATGTTTTCTTTTTAAATATAACAATAACGTTGTTGTTAAATTCGATATAATAATTTTTATACTAAATTGATATAATATATTGATTATTTTGAATTATATGATCATATATACATCTATTATAACTTCATAATCTCAATCGTTTGAATGACTTCTACGCGAGTTACACATGAATAAAACTAAATATAATTTAAGGTTAAATATTATTCTTAACTAATTTTTTAAAATTTATTTGCTTAATGTTTTAATTTCTATCATTATAATTATTTAAAACATCAAACATTATTTTTTGATTTTAAAGGTAACAATATAATCATTTATATGGACTTATTTTTAACTATTGTTATTGTAAGTTATTTTAAATTACTTATTTGAAAACTTTTAACGATTATAAAAATATGATTAAGAAATATTTTAGTTAAATTAATATTACAATTGAGTTTTTGCATTTATCACTTTTAACTATTTACAAAATATTTTTTAGTTTTTTAAGTGGAATTGAAATTTTTATTTAAGTTGATATTGTAATGTTATATTTAAGTTAACAATTTAAGTATTTTGTCCAAACTGTTCAAAAGTTGTAGCTTTAAACTGATAGTGGTTTACATATAACAACATATTAAGTCTAATAAATTAAGTATAATATGTTAAAAGTTAAACACATAACTTTATAAGTAATAGTAAATATATTATTTTAAAATTGAAATTTAGTTCATTTATGATTATACTTTAGGTTTGATATTTATTTAACCTTATTAACCAACTTATGATCATTATTAAAAAGACATAACAATTTATCATTTTTAACTATTTACAAAATATTCTTTAGGTTGTTTAAGTTAAACTAAAATTTATATTTAAATTGATCCTGTAATGTTATATTAAAATTAATAATTTAAGTATTTTATACAAATTGTTCCAAAATTGTATCTTTAAAATGATAATGGTTTACATCCAATAATATATTAAAACTAATAAATTAAGTATAATATGTTATAAGTTAAAAAACATAACTTTATTAATACAAGTAAATATATTATTTTAATATTGAAATTTAGTTTATATATGATTACATTTTAGATTTAATATTTATTTAACCTAATTAACAAAATTATAATTATTATTAGATAGAAATTGAAAAATCATGGGAGTTTCAAATGAATGTGGTGAAAGAAAATATAGATGAGAGTTACAAATGAATGTGATGCAAGGAAAAATGTTTCCTTTATAAGTATATAATGATAATGATGTATATCATTGCAATTGATAGAAACAATTAATATATATATTGCTTTAGGGTTAGGTCAAGATCACTTAATTAAAAGCTCAGTGCTGATATAAAGTACGAGAATGGGTCATGGGTGTGGGGTGGGGGTGGCCGTACAAGTAAAAACACTCTGCCTGTTACCATGTCATTTACAAATCAGTTAGAAAAACTGTTGGAGATAAAAATATTTGTAACTTTTGCAATTGTCTTCATGACATACCCTTTCTTCGACACCTTACAAATTACAACACTCCCCATTTCTCAAACTGTTGTGCATTGGTATTCTGTTGTGCTGGTTTGCATCCTCATGAGTGTTCGTTAACAGAAAAATAGTACACAATATCCTGGATTTTTTAGATTAGTGGTTGCATTGTAGGTTAAATACCTCCTTTTTATCTTCATGTGTTTTGGTTTAGGCAATGCAACTGAAAGTGATGAAATGAAAAAGTAAACACTTTATCAATGACATGTTGAATTTGAAATATGCACAATACAAAGCTTATGTTGATTAACATAAATTCTTGTAACATTTTTAGATTAAGGATTCCCTAATACTTATGTGTGTGTGTGTGTGTGTGTGTGTGTGTGTGTATATATATATATATATATATATATATATATATATATATATATATATATATATATATATATATATATATATATATATTATGATTGTAACATGATTTGTTCTAAAAATTGGGGTTGAGGGTTTGTGTTTTTAGTATGAATTGAATGTGAGTGTAGAGGTGCACAACCGGGCTGCCAAAAGAAACACCAAGTTGGACTTGAGGCGGTTTAGAATTGGGTCGAGTTGGTAAGCCCAGGTCACCTGGGCCAATGTGCATGTCTATGAACAGCCGTAGAGCATCAAATTTGAGAAATCGAGGAATCTGTTTCGCTGGCCTCAATTAACTACATAACATTTGTTGGTTGTTATGTAGTATACTGTTTATACATATATATATATATATATATATATATATATATATATATATATATATCATATTTAATAGGTTAATTATTTATAATACTAACTACTAAAGCCATGTTTAGGGTGCTAGCTTATAAATAAACTATATCAAGGTTAATAAAAAGCTAAGTTATTTTAGCAATCTAACATGCCCTAATAAGATGCAAAAAATAAATAATAAATAAATATAAAAGTAATTAAAAAAAAAAAAAAAGAAGAAGAAGTTTAGCGGTTTTTCCTCACCAGCCTACATTTTTACCCGAAGTGGGGCATAGTTGGGTTTGCTATATTAACAATGGAACCCGGTCCAAAAACTAATTAAAAATTAAATTGTTTTGAACTAATCTTAGGGGCCTGTTTTTCGCCCAAAAAAAATTACCATTCTGCTCCAAGTGAAATATAAATATGATTTGTTACATTTCGTTTCAATGCAATTAAAAATGTCATATTTTTATCAATTCTTGTTAAATTATGTGTTCAACTTGCAGTTTTTCGTGATCTGGACTTTCATATTTTGTGCAGTATAGTTGCAAATAATAAGACTTGCAGTCCAATCTCCAATCAGTAGAGCTATGCATATGCTTAACACTGACAAAAAGATGGAAATCATGGAATACATATAAAATGAAAAACTTGAACAAGAAATAGCTCAAGCCACAAGTACAAAAGATTTAGCTGATGAAGACTATATATACAAAATGTGATGCCCAGCAAAAGACTATGAAGATGACAATTAAAAAAAACAAGACACTTATATTAAATGTAATACTTTTATTCAAATCAGATAGTTCTGCTCCTTAATTACATATGTCCTATGTCATGTAGTCGTGTAGACAAGATCATCACAACATGTGATGTTATGAGTGTTTAAAACACATACACTACTACTCATAACCTCTTCCCTCGCTTCACTTCAATTACTAAAAACGAAACATACTACGGATTCAAAGACAATTCTTAATTTCGTCACAAATCCTAATGTTCATGCATGAAGATGTCCATGTAATGTATGGAGATCTTTTTCATGCCCGAGTGACTAGTGCTGAAGATGATACCTCATAACTCCAAACCAAAATCAAGACTTAACCATGGAAAATGAAAATGAACATTCCAAAGGACATGAAGAGTGAACGAGGTTGAAAATCATGATGGTGAAGTGAAGTCATTCTGCTTAACACTGTGTATTTGATTTCAATGGAGAACTATCAAGGAGCTAAATAAAGATAGCTAAATATGATCTTATGAGCAGAAGTGTAGAGCAGAACTACTGCAGCTTAATCCCATTTCAGTTTCTTTCATTTGTGCATTCGGGAGCTCTGCCATAACTAGCCTTCTAATTGTGAGAGTAACTTAAAAGATTCCAGAAATCAAGTAAAGCAAGACTTATCAATGGCAGCTCAATTGATATTAATACGACAGCATATTTAAACCCTAGACGACCTTAATATTTCTTACACCACAGAAATGTGTTCACTCTTCAACAGTAGCAGCATTGATTGTAAAACCTTAACGTCGGCAAATACGGTTCTAAGTAAAAAAAAAAAAAAAAAAAAAAAAAAAAGAGGGTGGATTCATGAAGCAGCAACTAATCTAACCTCCTTGAAGCTTAGGCATCGTTGTCCTTATCGTTGGTGAACTTATCATTAGAAATGCGCAACCCCGGAGGAGCCGTACGACGCCGTGTCCTTGAAGGAAGAATGTTATCCAAATCGACCTCCGCCAACGGATCATCAGAGAGATCATCATCATCACCGTCTGATTCACTCGCGCCGTCATCATCGGAAGAGTCGTCTTCTTCGGACTCTTCGATCAGCTTTCCTTTACCCTTATCATCCTTCATTATCCCTTTCCCCTTCCGATCAATTTCAGCTCCACCGTTGGAATGTTCAACTTCGTCTTCGTCGTCATCATCTTCTTCGTCTTCCGAATCGACATCGTCTTCTCCGTCATAGTCTTCCTCTTCCTCTTCCTCTTCCTCTCCATTTTCGTTGATAACTTTCTCTTCGGCGGCAGCGGAGGCGTCTTTAACGGCACAACTCTCTACTTGGTGCTTCTTTGTGGACTCGACATCTGCGTCTGTGGCAGTTTGCTTTCGCTTGGACGGCAATACATGTGCTTCTTCGTTGCTATTCAGCTCTGCCATGGCTTCTTCCAAAATCCAAACTCACAACCCTTCTTCTTGTATTTAGGGCTTTTAGTAGAAATGAAACTTGAAACTTGCTCGCATATGGTCTTGATACGGGTTTCGACATAACTGGACCCGGGCCTAGCCCACGGACTCTTTTCTCTTTTTTTCTAATTTTCAAAAGGAGTAACTATTTAACTCCAACAAAATGAAGATATTTTTACTGGTTATTAATTCATGTATTCTATTTTGTAATTATTCAACGTAACGGACTTATATGTCCTTTTTTCAAAACATTATATCAACGCTATGGTTAACTCAAAAATGTCAATTACAACATTAAGCAAGCGTTACGGGATGATTTGTGAAGGTATTATATTGTCATAATTAGAAATATCGTTGTACTTATTGGGCAAGAAGAAAATGAATATTGTCTCATCTACTTCGGTTGTTCTTGGGATCTAAAGGGGCAACACGAGTGATAATGCGGTGTTTGCTTAATCGTTGGAGTTTGGATGAGTAGTAGTAGGCATGAGCAAAGGAACCGAACCGGTCCGAACCAGTCCGGAACCGGGAACCGGCTTCGGCCAAAATTAAGAACCGAACCGGCCCGGCGGTTCTACCGGTTCCCGGTTCTACCGGTTCTTGTCGTGTTTTCAAATGTTGGAACCGGTCCTTGAAAAATAGCATCATACGGTTTCGGTTTTTGCCGGTTCTACCGGTTTTTGCCGGTTCCGGTTATATCGGTTCCGGTTCCTACCGGTTCCCGGTTCCAAAAATCCACAAAAATAATGTCCCGGTCCCGGCCCGACCGGTTCCATTGAGTTCCGGTTTCGGTTCCGGTACTGGTTCCGACCGGTTCCCCCGGTCCATATGCTCATCCCTAAGTAGTAGTAAGGGGACTTAACTATGTAAAATGGAATCACAAGAAGTTAGGAGTAACTCATGGGTAGATATTGTTGCTTCATTTCTTATCATGACAAGCCCACCACAAGACAAAACATGTTGGCATACATATATGGAAAGGCTAATCCCATTTTATATAGGGGTCAGTACGATAATGTAACATCTTGATGATGATGTATTTTCAAATTTAGGCTTGAGTAAGAAATAACAATGCATTTTGACCTTTGGGTTTGAAAAGATTTCAAGAATGGCCCATAGTGGCATTTTGGTAATTTTGGCCAAGATGTAGTACGTTGAGCGTACGTTGTGTACGCTAGGCATACTGGGGCATACCCTAGTACGCATGGCGTACGTAGTGGAACTTCAAACCCTAATTTTTAGGGTTTTATCCATATTTAAGCATCATTATCTCTCATTTCTCATTCCCCTCACCAGCCTCCATCTGAGAAAAACGACTCCCAAGCTAACCTTAAGTGAGAATAGTGCATCTTTAGCTTATCTTTGTGTTTTATGACATTCTTAAAGAATAAGAAGAAGAAGGTGGTGAGAAGAGCTTGAAGCTTGGAAGCAAATTGGATATGAGATTATCACCTTGCTAGCAACCTCCATGAGGTAAAAAAGTTCATAACTTGATCACTCTATCTTGTAGATCTAGCAATTTCTTCATATAGGGCACTTTTGGTCCCAAATATGGTGATTCTTGATCATGACATGCTCTTAACCAAATAAGTCATCCTTTCAGACCTTGCGAAGGGTCTTAAGTCATAAAAATGTGGTCTTGATGCTTAGTTTTACTCCATGCATGCTATAGAATGTCTTAAGGCATTAAGATGTTGAAATTTTGTGTATTACGCACTTAATGGACACGCAAAGTCATAAAGTTGGAAAATTTATGAATTTTAGTGGTATTTTAGCATTGGATCTGTATTTAGACATGTTAAGTCGGAGAAATAAGCTTTTAATATATTAAGAAGGGGATTGCTGCGTACATTGGGCATACCGAAGGGTACGTTGCGCGTACACAGATTTGGTCACGACGTGTAACATCCCAAAATCCATGACCAAAAATTTCATTTTTAATTTAATAATTCATAAGATAGATTATTGAAAACATCATTGTGTTGCCTCATATCATAAAAACTATAAATCATATGTCTCAAAACAAATCATAATAATGTCAAAGTACAAATCCCAAGAACATCATAGTGTGGAAGATAGTGGTGTGATGCGATGCAGTCATGCCGACTCATTTCCTTTCGAAGAAGAAGTACCTGAAACCAAATCTGAAAATCGTAAGCGCGAAGCATAGTGACTTCCCCCATCATACCATATACCATACAATAAACATACGACCAAGCATATCTGGATGCCCTGCCTACCCTGCTGAGCATATCTGGGTGCTCAACCTACCCTTTTTAGGCATACCGGGGTACCAACCTACCCCTGTCAAGCAAATATGGGTACTCAACCTACCCTGCCAGGCATATCTGGGTGCCCTACCTACTCCCCGGTTTATTTAACCCGGTTACGGGGACTATTTCACCCCTACCACTACCAAATAATAACATAGTATAGCATACTGCCAGGCATATATGGGTGCATGAGCTACCATGTTGGTCCTTACAATTGATAACGGGGTCTAGCCCACCCCTCATACCACTATCACATAATATCATAACATACTAGCACATAACTCATAACAGATAGTGCCATGCCAGACAATTATCACAAAGACATCATCTTAACTATAATCAACTACTAGTGAGCCGACATTGGTGCCTTCAACCCACTTCTACTGGAAGCTAACTCATCTCGAAAACTAGGAAATAACTACAAAGGCTCATGCTCTGAAATCGACCCTCTCAGACTCCTACACATAAACATTTCCTTTAATTACCCTTTTCATACTCACAACCCCTTAAGGGTCAAGTTGGTCAAATTCAAAGTCAAAATCAACACTTTGGTCAAAGTCAACATCTGGTCAAACTCAACATCTGGTTGACGTAACTCGTCGAGTTGGTCCATCAACTTATCGAGTTCCATGATTCATGAAACCTTACACTCACGATCCAACTCAACGAGTTCTTTCACAACTCGACGAGTTCCTCCTATCCATGGTATCGGGACTTTCCTATTCTACTCATCGAGTCATCCTTAGACTCGTTGAGTTTTCCCTTTTACAGAATCATGACATTTCATCCCAACTCATTGAGTTCCTCTATGGACTCGAAGAGTTCTTCAGTCTGTTGGGCCATCTTAATAGATTAAGCTCTTATCCTTCATATCTGTACTCCACACTTCTTCCACACATTGAAAAGGTCCTTTTAAGGGTAAAGTTTCCAACTTTACCAATCAATAGCTTCCTTAAATGGGTTTAGCTCAAACCCTAATCCTTTAAGACATAGATCTTAGTCTAAAAGTCATAATACTCCAAACCAAAGCATGAAAACTGAGATCTAGGCCCTAAACACCAAATAAACACATAAAGTTTCAGACTTTCTCTCCATGCATGGCCTTTTGGGGCTTAAAAGGCCAAAATGATACCTTAAAGCTTGCATGGGGCTTCCATGGCCATAAATTTTGCACCTTTATGCCATGGAACCCCTTCTAGACCCCAGATTGGAAGGATAAATCACTTGGGATGTCCATTTCCCAAGGACCAAGCTACTTGGACCAAAAACTCAACAAAAGTGGGGATGAAGAGATCTAAGCATATAATAGACAAGTTAGGAGTTTTTTTTACCTCTATTGAACCAGAAATGGAGCTTAACTTCTGGATCTACTTCATGTCCTTGCTCTTTCTTCAAGGATCCTCTTCTTCAACTTCACAAAGAACACACAATAATGACACAAGAACACTAAAAAGTTGATTAGGGTTTCGTGGCTAGGGTTTAGGGTGATGGAGGCTGCAAATGTGGCCAACCTTTGGAGGTTAATGTATTTAAATAGGGTGCAAAACCCTAAAATTAGGGTTTCACTCTGCTAGACCTACTCGTCAAGTAGACTTCCAAACCCGTATCTAAATCCATTTTCTACTTGACGAGTTTGAGCCTCCAACTCGTCCAGTTCTTGAATAAAAATGAATAAAATTATAATTTAAAAACATATCGAGAATCGGGTGTTACACGACGCCTTGGACAGCCAGTATGCCCCGCCTACATCCGTAGTACACCCCGTGTACGATCCCTGTGTTGACTCGGCTGAGTTGACTCGGTGGGGTTGACTCGGTTGACTTGTTGATTTTGACCACTTATGACCAAGAGTATTTCGGAAAAATGTTATTAATTTAGAAGGGGTAATATTTTGTCATTTAGGATTTGGGTAAGCCGAAATTTGGGAGCAAAGTATTGATCAGCTATTCGTCAGACTGTGAGGTGAGTTTCCTCACTATTCTTGTGGGTCGAAGGCACCAATGTCGACCCCATTGGTTATGTATTTTGGTATTTAGGATGTTGTTATACAATAGTAATTTGTAGATCTGCTTGTTAGTCTGTTAACTGGTTATATGATTATCTGTTGCTGGATATATGTTATTTGTTATATGCATGTCGACATGGTATGATGGGGTTGAGACTGTACTGCTTTTTGTTGTAAGTCAACAATCCGAGGCATTCCAACCGAAATATTGAGGGCCAGGGCATTCCAACCGGAAGATTGTGGACTTGTTATGTATTGGGCATTCTAATGGTAAAGTTGTAGGTCAGGGGTAATCGAACCAAGAGGTTATGGACCCATTATCTGTTTGATTATATGTTTGTGTTGTCATACTTGGGAGAACTCACTAATCTTTGACTTACATTTTAGTTTATGGTTTCAGTTACTTCCGAGGATTTTAGGAATTTGAATGTGTGATCGTAACAACCTCGTGTTTTGTCACTGGATCTTGGGGACAAACTCTGATTTGAAATAATACTTTGAAAACAATGATTTTTTTGTAAACAATGTTGATGAGTGGTTGATTTTCAAAAACTTATTTTTTTATGATTTTTGAGTATTACAAGTTGGCATCAGAGCCTTGATTTTAGTTAATTGGATGAGCATTCATGTGAATCCATACTCAAACTAAGGAACTGCAAAAGTTTTTTTAAACCGATTTTCCATTAATTGTTTTT